GGGGTGAGGGGCAACGATAGGGGGGGACTGGCATAGGAGGGGATGCATCGACCTGGAATCGGCGATACTCAAGGGGCCCTGGGACACACAAATAAATACACACAAATAACAGGATTCCCAATATTTTCCCATATTTTTGGGACTATTGTCTTCCCCCCCACTTCCCATATTTTTCTATATTTTCCTAGGGATCGACGATTCAATGTGTCTGTGTGCTTTTGTTCCCTTCTGAGATACATCGCCGACAGATCGGCGACTGGCCCCCGAGAGTGGATCCGCACGCTCCTGGGCGGGGCGAGGCCATCGGGCCCTCATCGGCGATCAGTGGGCGATGGGGGGTCGATGCATCCCCCCTATGCCTATCCCCCCCCGTGCCGTTGCCCCCGAGGGGGTCGGGCGCTGGCGGCGCCGGCGGGGAAGGCCAGCGCTCTGGGCCGCGCGTGAGGCCCAGCAGCGCAGGGTGCGCGCACGCCCCCCGCGCGGCGAAGGCGGCACGAGGCTGGCTGCACAGCGTGGCCCACGGCCCCGGAAACCCCGACCCGGAGAAACTGAAGGGGCCCCAGGGCACACAAAGAAATACACACACATAAAAAAAGATTCCCCATATTTTCCCATATTTTCTGGGTTTCTGTCTTCCCCCCCACATCCCCTATTTTCTGGGCAATCGAGGATGAATTGTGTCTGTGTGTTTTTTCCCTCCTGGGAAACACGCGTCAAGCTCTTCGCCTCCGCCGGCGGCGACGCCCACGCCTGACCTCGCGACGCGCAGGGCCCCGAAGGATCCTTCGACTCGGGAGGTCCCGTGTGGGGCTCGCTCGGAGTCCTCCGTGCGGACGGCGCTGGTGCAGGCACGGGGCTGAGAAGCCAGAAGCCCGACGAAGAGCGAGCAAAGGCAGGTTAGACACGAAGTAAAGGGGTCTGACGCCGGAAGACTGCATGGCGACCTTACGCGGTGGCTCACGCAAGCGCCAACGCGGTACGCCCCGTTGGAGACGAGGGCGCTTACGCGCGACCTTGCGCGGGCAGCTTTCGCGCCAGCGTCGGTGAAGACGACCTCGTGTTTCGGCGATGAGCCCCCGATAGCAAATCCGCACGCTCCTGGGCGGGGTGGGGCTATTAGATTCCTATCGGCGATCAAGGGGCGATTGGAGGTCGATGCGTCCACCCCCTATGCCTATCTCCCCCATATCGTTCCCCCGCCCCTGCGCTGGGGGCCAAGGCGAAAATAATGTCATGATAAGATTGGCTCAGGATGCGTTCTAAGATTTCCGGAGAATCTAACGTCGCAGCATGTACGGAAACTTGTCTTTCTCCTCCTCCTCGTCCCTCCTCCTCCTCCTTCTCCTCCTCCTCCTCCTCCTCCTCCTCCTCCTCCTCCTCCTCCTCCATGTCTTCGGCGGCGAGCGAGGGGGGTGGAAATGAGAAGGACAAGGCCTTCTTAGAAGGCGGCGGGGCTTCCCAGAAAGCCTCCGGCCTTCTGAGAAACGTGGTGTATATCCAGGAAAAGCCTCAAAAAACCGTTCCAGAAGGCTGGGGGAATTCCGAGCCTTCTAGGAAGGCACGCCTTTTCGAATTTCCCCCCAGGCTCGCCGCCGATTTCTGTTACCCGAGCTCGGACTGCGCCGCGTCTGCCGGCCCTTCCTCTTTTCATTTCCTCCCCTCTCCGTCTCGTTTGCCTCGAATCCCTCCTCCACCTCCTCCACCTCCTCGTCCTCCTCTTCTCTCCGCCCGCCTCCCGCTCGCCCCCTTCCCACCCCCAGGGGGTAGGCAATGTTGTAATTATGTAGGAGCCTAGTAAGTTGAGCGTTCGACGCCCCAGCGGCGCGCAACAGGAGGAAGCTGAGCTCCTCGTAGCTGATCATGCGTTGACCAGCTTGCTGCGTCCACTTGCGGAGGATGTCGAAGCTCGCCAGGAAGTTGTCGATGCGCTCCTGCGGCAGTCGGTCGAAGTTCATCCCACCGATACTGCCGAGGTGCGCCCCTCCGCGCCCAGCTGGCCTCATCCCTCGGCCAAGCTGCGCATTAGGAAAATCATCGGTGGTACTGGGTTGCCGCTGATGAGACCTCCCTGGATCGGGTCAGCTGGCGGCCATTCGTCCACGCACTCGCGCGCCATGCCGGTAAGGCGCGACGAGACGTAGGCCGCCTGGCGCCTGGCGAAACTCTTTGAGGTCCGAGTTCACCATTGACCGAATGATCACCTCGATCGCTTCATTTCTGGAGAACAGAAAAACGCACGCAAGCCTGGCGTTCGGCCCCCAAGGCGCGGAGGTGGCTCATGTTGCCGCTGCCACCACCTGCGTCCATGCAGGCGACGCAGCATGCGAAGGCACACATGTCGACTCCGATAGCCTTCCATCCGGAGCGTAACTCCCTCCACCGGTCAGAGAGGTGCCGGGGGCCAGGGGTCCTCAAGCAGCGTTGCATGAACCACCGAAGACACTTGCCCCAGATGTGGTCCTCCTCCTCAGCGTATTGGGCGTCTGCTTCTTGCGTGCCGCTGTAATGCTCACGGCACTCGGAACACCCCGCGACGCAAAGACGGGAATGTTCTTCGTACGTCGTGTGGAAACTGTGCTGAGCAACGATAATTACACGATCGTCTAGGAGAGTGCGCATCGGGATCCCGTCTTGCCCTGCTGGCGGGTCGGAATGGCCCTGCTTGCTTCTCCCAGCGCTCTCGAGACACAGTCCCAAGAAGCTCGGCGGCTTGGTCTGACACCGCGGGTGTGAACGTTCTGTCGAGCAACTGTCTAATGCCTGAAGCTACCCCCACGGGCGGGGGCCCGAACAGGTTGGGGTCCGCGAGTTGCCTGGACGCAGTCCGAGCATGCCCAGGATGGATTGCAGAGCGGTCCTTGCTTGATGTTGGTGATGTTGTCCTTGATGATGTACTGGTTGCGCGCGTTCTCGGTCACTGGTCCTGGCGGACGGGCGGATGCCCCGACGGACCCTAAAGTGACGTTTCTTGCCACAGTGAGCGCGAAGGGGCGCACGAAGGCAACGATGTTGGAGGCGGATGTAGAGCCGGATGCAAAACGGCATGACCTAGTGCTCCTGCGGATGGGATGCTCCAGCCCCGACGTGCCCTTGAGCGACGTCTCCTGCAGGCGTCGCGATGTACTGCGACGGACGGTGGGAGCCATGGCCATCGAGGCGATGCGGGACATGGCGGCCGTGATATTGGAGCAAGGGCGAAGCTGCTCCGCTGCCAACTAGACATGATACATGAGGACGTAGGAAGGTGAAAATGGTTTGCGGTAAACCGATGTATAGCGTGTAGAGCGCGTCTGCCTATGCAAAGCGGGCGCCGAGGCTGCTACCTTGAGCCCAACAGCCACAGGAAACAACTTCCTCACGCACTGGACCGGAGAGTGTGAGAAGCAGGCAAGGCAGGAGGACCTACTGTTCGAGTAGGAAGAGGGGGAAAAGGAGGAGGAGAACGGGGGATGAGGATGAGGAGGAGGAGGAGGTGATGATGATGATGAGGAGGAGGAGCAGGGGGGAGGAGGAGGAGGAGGAGGAGGAGGAGGAGGAGGAGGAGGAGGAGGAGGAGGAGGAGGAGGAGGAGGAAGAGAGGAGGAGGAGGAGGAGGAGGAGGAGGAGGAGGAGGAAAATGACGAGCAGGAGGAGGAGGAGGAGGAGGAGGAGGGAGTGAGAGTGGGAGGACGAAATGCGGCTTATCCAGAACCGCTTAGCAGCCATTCCGCAGTTGTTCTGGAAGGCTTTCCCCACCCCGCCCCCTGCTCCTCTGAAGAGGGCGGGTCAAGGCTCCCAACAAGTGGGGGCATCTATGCACAGCATATTTTCGAAGAGGTCCCCGAAGGGTTGCGGTGCAAAGATTGCTTTCGGTACCAGATCTGATGGACCAAGGACTCCTGGATTGATTCCCCATGCAAGCCGAATCATTCCCAACTACTTCATGCGTCCCACCTCCCGCACCTCCATGTCTTCCGCGGGGTAGCCGTTTGCAGCAGGTGCAGGTGGGTGTCGTCTTCCAGGGCATGGAATTGAAGGAACCTTGCCTTCCCACCACCAGCACGGGAAAAAAGGCGAGGTCTCGATTGCTTCGAGGACTGTGGCCGCAAGGACTGCAGCAGTGGCCGTGTTCCCTGGCCGCCCGATCACAAGAGGATTGTGCGCGGGCCCTAGGAGAACCAGCCCAGCAAATCTCACAATGAGGTCGCTGCACAGTCCCGTGGCGCGCACGGATTCCCCTTAGTGTCATGCAACATGCAACATGGAGGGGGAGGAGGAGGAGGAGGAGGAGGAGGAGGTGAGGAGGAGGAGGAGAAGGAGGAGGAGGAGGAGGAGGACGGGGAAGGAGCAGGGGGAGGAGGAGGAGGAGGAGGAGGAGGAGGAGGAGGAGGAGGAGGAGAAGGACACGTCGTCGTCCCTCCCTCCCTCCTTCATCCTCCCTCATCCTCCTCAGAGGTATCTGGAAATTTGCAAAGGAAGTGACTGGAGGCTCCGCCTCCTACTCCTCCTCCTCCTCCTCCTCCTCCCTCCTCCTCCTCCTCCTCCTCCTCCTCCTCCTCCTCCTCCTCCTCCTCCTCCTCCTCCCTCCTCTCCTTCCTCTCCCTCTCTCCATCTCTCCCTCGTACTGCTCCTTGAAGTCTCGGATGAATCTCAACTGGCGGTCTCTGGAGGCCGCGAGAGGCCTCCTGGAAGCCCCCACTCAGAAGCCTCTGCCATCCACGGCCCACGACCCTCGAACCCCGACACGCCTCGACCCCCTTCATCGTGAACCATTTGCCCACTTGCACGGGTCTCGTTTTCCGACTTGTGCATAACACGCTGGGATCCGGCTCTGTGTTGCCCCAGGCCCGCTATGACACCAGTCGGCGGATGGAGAACAGAGCAGCGCAACGGGAAGGGATGAGTGGGATGGGTAGGATGTCAGAATCTGGCGCGACCGCACCCAGTTTGCCCCCCCCCTCCCTCGCCCCTCCTCCTGCCCTTCGCCAGCGGGGGGCACCGGCCGCGCACGGCGCCCCCGCTCAGCACGGCGGGGCCGGGAGCAGCTCCTGCAGCTTCTCGTACCTCCGGCGTGCTGCCGAGGTGAAGGGGCCCTGAGACACACAAACAAATACACACAAATAAAAGGATTCCCCATATTTTCCCATATTTTCTAGGTTTCTGTCTTCCCCCCCACTTCCCATATTTTCATATATTTTCTGGAGAATCGACGATTAATTGTGTCTGTGTGTTTTTTCCCCTCCTGACGAGGGCTGTCCCTGGCACAGGGCTGAGGGCACTCCACAGGGGTGGTCGACAGGTCGCACCCACGTCGGCGATGCCTTCGGCGCCGCTGGCGTGCAAGAAAAAAAACAAAAAAAAATCGGGCCCCGCATCGGGCTGCATCGCAGATGCCTTGGCGATGGGGCGCGATCCTCCACCCCATCTGCTCGGATCCATGGGGGCGGCCTGGAGAGGAGGACCCCGAGGGCTTCGGAGTGGTGACAGCAGCTGGGGGCACCTCGGGCCAGAAGCACCGCTGAAGGGGCTCGGGGACACACAGATAAAAATAGACACGAATAGCAGGACTCCCCTATATTTTGACATATCTTCAGGGTTTTGGTCTCCCCCCCCTACACTTCCCGTATGCTCCCACATGTTCTGGGACATCGACGCTTCATTGTGTCTGTGTGTGTGTGTTTTTGTTCCCCCTCCTGAACCTCTGGCGACCCCCGATGCCTGGCCGCCGTGGGCGCGGCGAGCGGCGGAGCACACCTGCTCCTCCCGCGGGGGGCGCAGGGGCCGCCCCACCCGGCGGCTGCGGCGGGCCCGCGCCGTGGCGGCCCGGTCGCTGGCGCTCCGACACCGCGCGGGCCCCTCGACCGCGGTCGGGGCGCTGACCTGAAAGGGACCCCATGAATGAGGCCGCTTCTCGGGCCGGCCGCGGGGCGGCTGCGGGGGAAGGGCACGGCGCCCGCCAGCGGGGCCTTCCGTAGGTGGCGAGAGGGCGAGAGGATGAGAGGATCGAATGCGTCGTCAGCCGTCGGGGCGTTCACCTAAGGGACCCTGAATGAGGAACGAGGCCCCTTCCCCCATGAGTTACACTTCGATCTCCCATGGAAGACCTCATGAAAACCTGAGGCAAGCTGTAGAGCAACCAAGGAACACCGAGCCCCTCCCCGACGAGAAGGGTTCCTTCTTCAGCGCCCCGACTGCATGAACTGTCGCGGCTCTCCGACAGTGTGGACTGCTCGGCGTCGGCCGATCCCAGGCCGCTTGCGGCGCTCGACCTGGAATGCCCGCGCAGGGAGCGCCGCCGACACGGTGCGAACCTGCCGGGCTCCAGGCCCTAGGAAGGGGGGGAGCCTGCACAAAGACCTCCCCACCTTTCTTTGCCGGTGGCCGCCTGGATGGTCCCACGAAGGCCCGAGAAGCTCCGAGCCGCCAGAGGGCTCCGACGGCCCAAATTCGGGCTCGAACACAAAGTCTGCGGCTGTTCCAAGAGGCCGTCAAGGTGCGCCCAGACGTCCTCCGAATGACTCTTTCTGGGGGATGTTCGGGCTGACCCCAGCTTTGATGTGACGGATGTCCTCCCTTTTAGTTTGGCGAATGCCCTCCAGATGCCGTTCTCAGGAGAGTTCGTCCGGAAATCGTTTCTGAAAGAGCCTGATGGGGGCACACGAAGCGTCAGCGCTACAGCATGAAGAGAATGGGTAATGCAACTTGAGCTAATGAGGAGAAAGAGCGCTACGCAGAGGAACTAGCATAATGAAGAGGAAGGAACACGAGGAGGGAACTGTATAGCCCACGTCCCGTTCTCGTGCACGACGGCGTTGGCAAAGGTACAGTCGAAGGCCAAGTCCTGGCCAGCAAGAAAGGAAGGAGTAAGGGGGGAGGAGGAGGGGATGGGATGATGGATGGATGGAGGCGATGGGCAACAAAAGCGGCGACCTCAGCTGCGGCGATCACAACATCTACGAGTCCACCGCAGGGACGGCACCAGCAAAAGAATCAGCACGGTGTCACTGACGACCAAAAAACAACGGTCTTTCAAACACCGCTATGAGCGCCAATCTAACGGGGACTCCACTAACGGGTACTTTGGCCAATGACCCTGCGAACCTAACCCTCCCCGATGTGGGCAACGCTGCAATGCCAGGAAGGGGCCCTAAAGTGGCAACTTTCGGCAAATCTCCAAAGTACCCGTTAGTGAGTACCCGTTCCGGTGCCGGTGACGCTATGTTTGTCTCGCCTCTCCGGAGGAGTCGGGCTCAGAGGCGACCGCTGGTGTCGCCCTTCGGATCTGCCGGCGGTGTCTCACACCAGAGCCGCCGCCGTCGTGCTGCGCGGCCGCGCCTTTCACGCACATCGTAACGAGGCGGTCCAGCAACCCGACGAATGTGAGCTTTGGGGGATGGACAGACCCCCCTTTAGTAAAACGTGGTTTAGTGAAAACGGCCTGAGGCCCAAACCTAGCGGGCGCAAGCCTGGAAAATAACGGCCACGGCGCCCTCTCGAGAACCGAAAACGGACAATTCACTAATCGACGTGTCACTGTTGGGGGTTCTGTCCAGCAGCGTTTTCTTATTCGGCATTTCGGCATTGGGCGGAAAGGGGGGGGAGGTCCGGCTCATGACCTCTGCTTAGTGCGGCTGTTCGGAACCGTGCGTCCTCTGGGGGAGACTCCACCTGCTCGGAACAGGCGCCAAAAACAACCCAAGGTCCACTCCATGGGGGGGGGAGGAGGGAGGGGGGCGAGGGCCCGCGCCGATCGGCAAAACACGAATAAGAGAAGGACGACCAACCCGATGAATGTTCAACACGTTCGCGCGACGCTGTCGACCAACCTCCTGGCCAGCAGCGAGGCGGACGCCGACGCGGTCGGTCAGACGACGGGCAGAGGCACACGGGACGAGTGGAAACGAAGAGGGCGGCCACCGCGGGGGGCGGCATAGGGCGCAGAGACTCTCCGCCACGAGGAGGGCGCGGGCGACCTCGGGCACCGACAAGCGGCGCAGTGGAAGGCGAGCGACCAGCGGGGGCTGCCGCAGGAGAGGGCCGCGCAGGGCCCACCGGAGAGGCAGGCCACCGTCCACTGGGCGGAAGACAAGGCCACAAGGCGCACAGGCTGGGCCCACGGCGGTCGGCGGCCGTCCTCGGGGGATCGGGCAGCACGACAACGGGGCAACGCAGGCCTCCGGGGCACAGTGGCAGGGCTGGTCCAGAGGACCAGGGCCTCGCCGAGCTGCACGGCGACGAGCGTCCCGGCGCCCAGAAGGCCGGCATGGCGGCCCGGGGGGAGGGGGGAAGACCAGAGATAGGGAGCCCACAAAGGACGTACGCGCCCAGCTGTACATGAACACGGCCCCTTGACCCGCGAGACCGGCCGCGTGATACGAATATTCGCGCAATGCGAAATCTCGAAAACAGCGTGGATTCATGTACGTGTACGTCCTTCTTTCGCTCCTGAAGAGAGGCGGGAGGCGATGCGAGAGGCGGCGGAGGCGACCACCCCGGTGCTCGGCAGGAAGAGCAGGCGCCAACAGGGCGGAGGCCAGGCAGGGAGGCCAGGACGTGCCCCCCCCCCCGCCAAGAACGGGGGGCGGGGGGCGCGGAGAGCCAGGGCGGGCCTCAACAACGGCTCAGGCCGATGGGACGGGCAGCGAGGCAACCAGGAAGCACCTGATCATTGCTCGGCGCAGCAACAGTTGAGTAGGCCAGGATGGGCAGGGACAGGAGCACCTAATCGGTGCAGCAATGCTGAGAAGGCCAGGATGGGCCGAAAAGCGCTGCCGAGTAACAGACATACCCTAGACGATCGCAAATGCCTGTAAGACGCGAGCTGGTTGTTGAGCGCTGCTAGCTGTGCGTCACCATATGTCGTCAACACATTCTACATGTTTGATGCGTTAGAGGCCTAACCATTGCAGCGTTGATGCGTAAGAGGCGCTATAAATTGGCTATAAACCAAATCGCCACAAACCCACCAAACCCACGTGCGTGTTCAATCGATGTGCATATATAAGCTAGATGTGTACCTGTGTATATATGTACGTCTATCTGTTTGTGTCCGCCACCGTGCATTCGGCACGTACCTAGTGGAGTGCCGCAGAACTAAGCAGAAGTGAATGTTGGGGGGGGGGGCGCAGGGTTCTTGATACCCAGGACTACCCAGTCTGCCAGAATTAATGTGCACTCTTCCCCTGCCCTTTCTTTGTTTAACAAGTGCTATGCCTGTAATTCAGGTGCAGGTGTCACCCCTGCCAGGCTTGGACCTAATACAGAAGTCTGCGGAGCGGCGCGGGTGCGAACACACAAAGAAGGGAGACGGCCGTGCCAAGCAGAACAGACTCAGAGACCAGCCCGTCCTATGCTAGACTAAGATGTTCTTTGCTGCTACCCTCCCTCGGCAGACTTTGATAAAACTCGAGGCGGCCCGACAGAACTGGCCTCTCTCGTTCAGCTCCACCAGAGGCTTGGCATCCCATCCGCCTCTGTACTTCGGTCTCTTGAAGCCGAGTTCGTTCGACTCGAACAAATTCGGCGGGGTCATCTCTAGGAGGCAAGTCGTCGCCCTCGGCGTCCCCCTCGTCGTTGCTACTGCTACTGCCGCCCATGGGCGCGAGGCTTCATTTCGAATTCTTCTGCAAGTCCGAAACAAAATTCAAGTTCGCCGCGGACAACCGCTCCTCCTCATTATACCGCTATGCTTCACGCTGCCAGCCGAGCTTCATCCGCGTATTCGCCAACACGCGGCACTGATCCTTGCCGCGCGTGGTCGCGCTCCGGCTGCAGAGCCACCTGCAGCGCACCGCTCCCCGCACTGACGCGCGCCTCCTTCTGGACGCGAGCGAGCTCGTAGTCGTAGGCTTTCCGGACTCGCTCCCACTAGCACCCCCCAAAGCCACTGCTGCTGCACTTCTCCCACTTGTACTCGTGCTTCGTATGGGCGTGGCTCATCCGGCATCCGGCGAGGCACGACGACCTCCGCGTCCTGAGCATAGAGGAACAGAAACAGCGTGAACATAGTTTCGCGGTGGTC